TGCATATCATTGATCCCCAATTGCATATTGCGTATGCTTAGTTGTATATAGAACTTAATTGTATATCAATGGTTCTAATTGAAAATCCATGATCCCGAGTTGCATATGCTTGATCTTAATTGCATGTTGAAGATACTTAATTGCATTTAGAACTTAATTACATATTACCAATCCTAATTACATATCCTTGATCCCATGTTACATATGTTTGATCCTAATTACATATTAAAGATACTTGGTTGTATATAGGATTTAATTTCATATCACTGGTCATAATTGCATATCATTAATCTCTAGTTGTATATGCTTAGTCCTAATTATGTAGTGCATATACCTAGTTACATATGAAACCTAATTGCAGGCCACTGATCCTAATTACATATTAGTGATTCCGAGTTGTATATGCTTGATTCTAATTACATATTGAGGATGCCTAAATGCATATGAAATCTAATTGCATATCAATAATCCTAATTGTATATATTTGATCTTCAGTTGTATATGCTTGATCCTAATTGTATATTGCAAGTGTCTAGTTGTATATAGGATCAAATTGCATATCACTGATCCTAATTGCATATATTTGATCTCCAATTATATATGTTTATCCTAATTACATATTGCATATGCCTAGTTGCATATATGATCTAATCGCATATCACTGATCTTTGATCTTGTATTGCATTTGTTTGTTCCTAATTGCATTTCATTGAGATACTATGATATTTTTTTTTGCTTTTTAATTCTCTAAAAAGACTTCAAAGGTTCAGATCTCATTCTATAATCAACTTTTTAAATGGGGATTTATCCCTGGCTTTCTCAAAGGAAAAATTGAATGGAGAGAGTGTGAATAACAAAAATATAAGAAAATAAAATTCCTAAATTTTCTCCAATTTAAATTTAGTGAGTCTTAATTCCGAGTTTTATTCTTTCCTTTTCCTTTTTCTTGGCATGAGATAAAGTCAAATTTGTGTAATGATAATATTGACCAATATATAAGTAGTTTTTTAATCGTACGAGGCATGTATATGAGAGAAGTTTTTTTTTTCTCAACTTACATGAAACGTGCTTATAAGTTATTGCAAACATGATTCCAAATGAAATGGACAATTAGTCAAACTAGAAGTACAAGGAACAAACATTTATCAAACGTTGATTGTCAAAAGAAAATTTATTAAAAACATTTATATTATAAGTCAAATGTCAATGATATTAAAAATTATAGTTACAAATTATCTATTAATAAAATTCTCAAGTCAATGACATATCTTAAAACCATACCTCCCTCTTATTCCAAATATAAGATTCATAACTAACAAACAAAATAAATACAAGAGTTATACTATACATAAGTATTTAGAAGAGATCAAGTCACATTTATTAGAATTAAGTAATTTATTTAACTTTTTTAATTTACTTAAATTAATTAAGTAGTTCTTATATTAAAGACATGAGGGTTAATTTAGAAAAAAAAATCAATATACATTTTTTAAATTAACCAACATAAATAGTTTCTTAATATTTAAAAATTAGTTATTCGGCTACTATATTTAGGATATGAAAAAAATATTATTATCAGTATGAGCTAATTTTTCTTTGACTTTTCTTTGCTTATATGCATCCATTTCATCAATAGTGGAGGGTTATGCAATGGGACATTTTTGTTTATAGATTTCCACCATTTATGAAAGCACATAATCTTTTCTCCACTTACTTATTTAAATGGTTAAAACCTAATCTCATCCACTGTTTTTTATTTTTATTTTTAATTTTTCTTATGTATAAACTGATCGTATTTTTCTATTTTAAGTAACCATCGCCTCAACTTATTTGAACGTCAATCAATTTATCTACCGCATGATTTAATTATTCCTTGTACATATTGTCCATGTCAAATTTTATTGCGTGCAATAAGCTAGTGAATGCTCCAAATCTGGAAAATGAAGAATGATTATTTGAACTGAAAAAAACAATTCAATCATGAAATTTGAATTGGGCAGAAACAAAAAAATTATCATAGAATGTATAAATGTTGAGAGAATTTCCACAATTTTTATATGGTGAGATTTTTGCGAAATTTTCATTTTTTTTACCGTGTAAAACTTATTATGTTAGAAACAATTGGGTAAAATGACTCAATTTCTCCTAATTAATAATAATAATTTTTCCTTTTATTAGAGACAATCTTATTTAAAGCATGATTGTATATTAAATATGGATATCTCTCTCGGCAAGAATTTTAACCTTAATTCACCATATTATGAAAAACTAGCCATGTAAATCTTATTGATAATTCTTTATCCTTTTAATTAACACATTCAATAGCATCACTGACTCAAAAATTATGTAACTTAATTAACGGATTAAAATATATTGTATGGTATAGCGTGCTGTACAATATAATATAGAATCACATAGACCCTTCGTCATTGGTTTAGTTTTCTTCACTATCAATTTGTTTTATTTTAAACAAATAAAAAAGATAATGTCCCTTTCAAAAGAAGTAAAGAAAAATGAGGTGGAAAAAACAGTCTTATACACAAGGGAAAAAAAAAAGGAAAATTAGACAAATTTAAAAAGTGTAATATTTGTTTTCTTAATTCTTTTGAAATAAAAAAGATATGGACATTAAAAAGTATATTTCAATAACTCAGATATGTGATGTGGAAAACCACAGTAGAAGATCATATCCCCTCATTAACCATATTACTAAAAGAAAACAAGTGGTTGATGATGACAGATTTGTGAGTGTTTATATGTTACTTCCCTTCATTAATAATATGAGAACTAGTTAATTAATTTAAAAATTTTAAATAAGTTAATTAACCTTTTTTGATAGAAATTAGGAGGTATTTTTTTCCTCAATGGCTAGAGACTAATCCACCTGAGGCATAAAGATTACTGAAGTAGATTTTGCCTCTCCCAACGAAGCTTTTTTCATGCACACAGTTTGGTTTGAAAAAATTAATTAATTAGAGCAAATATAATTTGATCTCCTTAAAATACCCATATGTAACATTAGATTAATAATCTATCTATAAATTAGGCAAATTAATTTGAAAAAATAATAGATATGATAAATAAAATTGACTAACTTATTATATTTATGATTAAATTTAACATCTCGATTGATTTGTATGTTAAGGACAGGAGGGAGTATATAAAAAATGTGTGTAGGTGCATATAGTTGGATGTACCAAATGCCAATAGAAGTGGGCAATGAGTCATCAAGTTGAACCTTTCCTCCTTTTTTTCACCGTCACATAAAAATTTATAAATGAGATTCCTTTTCGGTTTCTTATGTCATATTAAGTGAATGGATTAAATAAATAGGATCCAACATAGATAGACCCGTAATTATAATACAATAAATTGACTTGTTTTTTTTTCCTATTATTTGTGGTTGCTTGCGTCTGCCAAAATAGTCTTCCTTTAGAATTATTGTAGCACCCACTATATCTATAAATATATATATATATATATATATATTATATTTATTTATATCATAACTTTGCCTTTGCCTCCTGTATAAATTGTGCATCTCACTGATGTCAGCTTAATTTGCCCCCACAATGATATGGTTGTCCACAAACCTTAATAGTTAATTAGTCTCATTCTCCTTCCTTGGCATCACATTTGTCCACATCAATTATAATATATTTTACTTGTTGTTATTAAATTATTATTTCATGTGCATTTGATAATATTTTCTATATTGTATTATAATAAGTAGGACTGCAAATAATATATCTTGTCTTACTAAATAATGTGGTAAGTGATATCAATTATACAATGTCATTATAATTTATCAATAACTAACTGTTTAAGTATATTATTTATCAGAAATATTCATATTCTATAACTTCTTTTAAATTTTTTTTAGATTCCATTTACATCTTTCCATAAAATTAAAGATTATCAGCATCTGTAATGATGTTGGTTTCACATATTCAAATAAGCAAAAAATTAATCTGTAGAGTTCTAGATTTTTTTGTTGAGGCCAAGGTATCCATCGCCAGCAGTAATGATTAATCTTCTCGCATCGTAAATTTTTTCAAGAGGCTTTAGTGTTAGCTACGAGACCCTTTCCATACACATTATCAGAGATTGAATTCCTGACTAGATTTCTAAAATTTTATCTAGTCTTAAATCTATTCTTATAATTTTTTTCTTTTTTATCATGTTCTCATAGTTTTATTTTATTTTTAATTAAATCTCTATCATCTTTCCTTTTTATTAAGTTCTTATAATTTTACACTATTCTTGTGAGTTAAAGCCCAATTTTGCTGCTAATGTAATAGCTATTGTTATATGAAAATTTTTGTTAAATTAATATCGTCCTAGAAATATTAAACAAGAGCAAAATCAACCTAACTATTAAAACAATAATATAGACTATTAAAAAACTAATATTGACCTATAATATTTTTAGGAATCAAGAGTGATTGCGCTCTTTTTCTAATATTTCTATAGCAATATTAGTGCAACAAAAACTTTCAAACACCCGCAATTTTTATAAGAAAAAAAATTTTGCAACAAAATTACACATTAACTCTATTTTTTTCCTGATGGAGGCCATTCTTGAGTTTAAATGTTAATTTAAATTAAAGATTAATTAAAAAAGTATAAAATATATTAAAATACATTATATTTGCAAGCCATCAGCAATTGTTTCATCTAATTAGCTCCGTACAACACTTGGCAAAACACGTATAACGAAACATAATTTAAATATTTAACACTATCAATAAATTAGTTTAAAAAATTATAAAAACCACCTTTTACAAAGGTGATGTGATCGGTTGCTCCAATTTCTTGCAACCAATTCACAGGTTCACTTTGGTTGATTAAATTCACAGGACCCAGAAAAATTTGAAGGACGTTGTTGCTGTTCATCATACTTTTTGTAGTGGAGTCAATTTTCCCATTAATTTTCTCTTTAATTCCACCTATAAAATCCCCCCACCATCATCGTCACTCTTGCTCCAATTCACAAACAAACCAAAACTCTCTCTCTTTCCGAATGATCATCATCAACGCTTGAAAAATTTTCTCATCCACTTTCCTTCGTTTTCCCCATCCAATTCCATGGATTTTCTCCTCGCTTCCGACACCCCAAACACCCCCATAATGGAATTTCAACTCCAAGCACTACTCTGCAACAGCGGCAACAATTTTCCACTCCAGAATCTCAATGCTCAGATTAATCATCCTCATCATCCTCCTCTTCCTCAGCTTCAAGATTTGGCGTCGTCTCAGTCGACTTCCGATGAAGCGGAGGATCAGACGGCGGTGGTGGCGGCGAACGAGAGGAGGCACCGGAGGATGATATCGAACAGGGAGTCGGCGCGTAGGTCACGGGCGAGGAAGCAGAAGCAGCTGGACGAGCTGTGGTCGCAGGTTGTTTGGCTGCGGAGCGAGAATCGGCAGCTGCTGGATAAGCTTAACCTTGTCTCGGATAGCCATGACCGAGCCCTTGAAGAGAATGTTCGTCTCAAACAGGAAGCTTCTGAGCTGCGTCAGATGCTCTGTGACATGCACTTACAATCCCCTGCTTCTCTTCCTTGATCTCACCATCATCTATCTCTTCTTTGATCCTCAATTTCTCTTTTAGATTAATTAATCCACCATATCATATGTAGAGGTCATATATTTTAATAAAGTAAATAAATTTAGTATTAGCTTTTTTTTTTTGGAAAAAATCGGTAAAAACTCTGTTTGAAAATTTTATTGGATAGGAAGACCTGAACTCAGGTACTGATGACGCTTTTTGTGTATTGAAACACATCAAGTTCTTCTTACCAATAAAATTTTCAAGTGGGATATTTTGACCCATTTTTTCAATATTTTTGATCCCACTGCATCTAGATATTTTGCCATTTGAGTTGATTTTGGATATGCCTACGTCTACACATTCAAACAAAAATTGAATGGTGAGGTGATTGTCTCAGACAAGTTTACATGGTAGGCCCTTCCTTCTTCTCCATCTTGTTTTTTTTGTAGAATGTCTGTTTATGCTACTATCGATCTCTGATCATTAATATAAAAACTTATTTGACTTTTATTTTGATCATAAATATAAGATTCCAATTCACTTTGTCTCTTGTATTTATCCATTTTTTTCTAAGATAATTCTTATAATAATGGTAATTCTAGTCAATACACTTGATTAGTAAAGATATTTTAGAAAAAAAATAACACATATTTGTTACAAATAACTAACTTCACTAATTTTTTTAATTTATTCAAATTAGTCAAATAGCTCTTATATTAAAAAATAAGAACCAGAGATAGTATTTTATAACTTACGCATGCTGTTTGTTGGACACAAATATTCCCTCCGGTTCTTATTACAAGAATATTTCTGACAATTTTATCAAAATTAGCAAGAAATAGTTAAGTTATTAATTTTGTCTAAAACTAGAATAAATTTTTAATTTTACTCATAATTAAATGCAAAAATTTTATATTTGTATTACATTTCCTCACATACTTAATGATTTTAAATAAGGGCAATATTAGAAAAAATTTAGTTACTACCTCTAATCCTAATTATAAGACCCAGCTGACTAATTTGAGGAGATTAAGGAACTTAGTTAAGTTAGTTATTTGTAATGAATATGTATTATTTTTTTCTAAAATATCATTGTTAATCAAGTTTGTTATCTAGAACTACCATTATTAAAGGACTATCTTTTAAAAAAATGATAAATATAAAAGACAAAATAGATTGGAGTATTATATTTATGACTAAAATAAAAGTTAAACAAGGTATTATATTAAAGACCGGAGGTAGTAATATCTTATCGAGTGACTTATATTAAGGATCATTTATATCTTCTAAATATTATTGTCTAACTATCGCAACTTATTATTAATCCAAAATTCATTATCAAATATGAGTGTCACGTATGTGTAAAACGATGCTTCTGAATGGGATACGTCATTTGTATTGTGATGAAAGAAAAATAACACAACATAGTTCTCACGTTCCCTTGTCTCATTTTCTGCTCTAAACTTTGCTTTCTCTCATTGGTTGACTTTATAAAATTATTTATATTGTATATTACTACTATCTTCAGTTTTTAACATAAGAGTTACGAAAAACAATTTGGTTATAAATATAAAATTTCAATTTATTATTTTTCATATCTATTTATTTTTCTCTAAAACAGTTCTTATAATAACTATATATGTTAAAAAGTTTTTATTCTAAATAACTAACTTAGCTAATTTTCTTAATATTCATAAATTAATTGTTTAGTTCTTAATATATTGAGGTCCATATTTAGTAGTTGGGGGATACCGGATCTCCGAAATTGTGCATTCATCACATGCATGGGGCAATTGCAACCGTATTATCATTTACCTTAACAAAAAGTATTGATAATTTGTGGTCTCTCAACAAAAATTTCTTTCATTTAAAATGGTGTAAAATAAAAAAAAAATTTCTAACATAAGCTAATACTAACTCTGGTCATTAATATAAGAACTAGTTAATTAATTTGAGTAGATTAAAAAAGTTTGTTAAGTTAATTATTTGTAATAAATATTTGTATCTTTCCTACAAAATCCTTGTTAGTGTATTAATTAGAATTACTATTTGATGGAACCTTTAACATATATAACTACTATAAAAATTATTTTTTAAAAAATAAATAAATATAATAAGCAAAATAAATTATATTTTTATATTTAGAATTAAATTAAATATTAAACTAGCTTTTATAGTAAATACAAATAATAACACTTACCAATTGGAATCTAGCTTGCCCACATGTACCCTAGCGTAGTGTTTGGTCGTGGATTTTTGGACTGAAGCTAGGCGTGGGGTCGTGTGTTTGGTTAAAAAATTGGAAGAGAGGAAAAGACAAGGAAAAAATTCTAAAAAAATAACTGTTAAATTTTAAATTTTCAAAATCAAGTTACTACACTTAGGGGTGTTCACTGGATGGGACGGGATCGGGATAGGTCCATCCCGGTGAATAGGGACGGGACAGGGATTTTGTCTCATATCCCGTCCTGTCCCGATCCTGTTGAGACAGAGACGGGACCAAGACGTCCCGCTTTTCTTTTTTTAAAAAAACTATAATTTTTTATATGAACTTTTTTATGTTATAATACTTATTTTTTATTGGGCTTCTAAAGATAAAAACATTATAAAAAAATATTATGTAGAAAGCTCAGTTATATAGCATAAAAAAGGTATAAAAACAATACTGTAAAAAAAATACCGTAAAAAAAAACTATATAATGACTTTATGAATTATTTTATTGAGAAAGTAGATTTTGTTGAGATAATACTACAACTTAAGAGCTACAAATCACCATAAAAATAAGAGTTATTATTAATAAGTAAATTGAATAATCTAATAATAATTATTAATAAATAATTTTTAAAAGGAAAAAAAAACCTAGGATGGGATGCCCTCGCAGGCCATCCCGATTAGTGTCCAATCTCGTCCTGTTTTTGTCCTGTCCCAAAATTTTTGTTGTCTCATCCCGTCCTGTCCCGAACTCACCGGGACCGGGACGGGACAAATTGAACACTCTTAACTACACTTGTAAAGAAAATGACTACACTTGAAAAGCAAATAATAATATGTTTTTGTAGTAATTTCTGCTTTGGAATTTTGAAATTCAATGGCTTTTTTTTTGGATTTTCCCCAATGGAAGTTTTTTATCTTTATCTACTTCCCTCCCTCTCCTCCCTCTTCCCAAATTGGGGGTCTTTTTGAAAGAGAGAGAAATTTATTATTCAATCTTCACAAAATTACTTATGACAATTTGCAAATATTTCACAGTTGCCCTTCAAGATACATTTTTTAGAACTGTTGATAATGACAAGTGCGGCTCTAAAGGGCTGGCCCTTGACGTGTTAGAGTCTAAAAAGGCTAACCCTTTAGAGCTGCATACCATAAAATTAGCATATTTTTAAAACTTAGCTCTTGGACGTGCGGGCTCAAGGTTGGCTTGAGGGCTTTCATATCAATTTTTTAATTTTAAGTTTTTCCAGTTATTTTGTAATACAAAAATAATAATAATCTGCAAAAATTCTTGGTTCAAATAATAAATATTGATAAAATAAAGTGTCAAATTATAATTTGAATTAGTAAAACCAATACAAATCATAGCTCAAACACGCTAGTGGTGTATAAAAAAACCTCAAACATTAATAAATTATTGTCCAAACTTAAAATAATCCAAAACTAAATAAAACAAACAAATCAGAAAGATAGAAACCAAGCATTAGCAACCTCAATATGATTATAATCTTTATTCTCATTACTATCATTAAGATCAACAATTATTTGATTATTTTTAACTACAAGTAGGCTTTTCTTCAATGACAAAAATATCAAGGTTTTCATCTTTATCATTATTATCTAAAATAAAACTATGCAACCAGTTACAAGCACTAATAAGAGCCTAAATATTTTGTTGAAATAAAAGAATTTTTATACTTCATTGGGACGCGTGTAAAAACCAATTCACTAGCTATTGTAGTTATTAGAATACCAAGAATATTAATTGTCATTTTTGAAAGAATTGGAAATCAATTTTGATTGTTCTTTCACTAACTTATGATATCTAATTCTTTTGAATTATCAAGCTTACGTATTGGTTCTTATAAATAATTTTTTGTTCAAACTTAGTTATAAAAGATTGATTTATAATTGTATAAATATCTTGATAATCCTACATCATTAAAAAATTTTAAGTACATACTGCAATAGTAGCTAAATAAAATTAAGCAAATTTAATTGAAAAAAAAAATTAAAACATAAACACATCAAATGCATCATGAAAGGATGTTGTCGTTGAAATACTTGAAGTGTGAGGAGAGTAACAAGTGTTGAAACCTTAGAAGTTGATGCTTTCCCACCTTCAAAATTAGTAGGCAATATGCCCATATTATACAACTCTTTCGGTCCTTAGTTAAATTAAGTATCTTAACGATGTTAGTTAAATTAGTTAATATAATATGTTTTTTCCTAAAATATCCTAATTATCTTCTTTAATTCCTTCTCTTTGTTTACTACTTGATTATTATTGAAAGAATATCAATGGGATTAATTTGAAAAAAAATTGATAAAAATATGAAATAGATTTTACATATAGAATCAACATCAACTCTCAAATTAGATCATATATCAAGGAGGAGTATTGATTAGAAAAATTTACCTTGCTCTTCAAATTTACATTAAGTTATTTAGATTTGAATTAAAATTTAAATTATTATCATTTATTATTATTTCCTAAACTAGGTAGGAAAATTGGTTAAAAGTCTGTATTTAACAAATTAATTGAAAAATAGGAGCTGCAATAAATGTAAAGGTGTGGGCCCCTCAAATGTCAGTAAGTGTGATAAGAAAAAGATCATATTATCCTGATGGATGCTAATTCCACATGACAGATCCTCACTTGCATATCATGGATCCTAATTGCATATGGTGGATCCCTAGTTACATATGAGATCTTATTGCATATTACGAATCCTAATTATATATTATTGACCCAATTTTGCATATTGCCGATTCTAATTGCATATAGTGGATACCTAGGTGCATATGGTATCTTATTGTATATTATAGATCCTAATTGCATATAATTGATCCACAGTTGTATATTGGTGATTCTAATTGTATATGTAGATGCCTAGTTGCATATAAGAACTTATTGCATATCACATATTCTAATTGTATATTGCTGATCCAAAGTTATAGATGCTTGATTTTAATTGCATATTGGGGATGTGTAGTTGTATATGAGACCTTGCTGCATATCACGGATTCTAATTGCATATCATTAATCCAAATTTACATTTTGCTAATTATAATTTCATATATGTTACTATTTATATAAACAAATTTCTTTGTATAGTACTCACAAATAAATTCTTATCTATGAATGCTAATTATATAT